CATGGAATGTCTCCAGTTACACGGTGTGGACGAGCACTTCGGCGGTGTGCAAGACTAACACGATCCTTAGTCTGCTAAAGAAAGGTCCTGTGTGTCTGCAGGAGACGAACTGGGATGCGGCTGGCCCGGTCGCGGCTGCACATACTTTTCCGCGTGCGGCAATTGCATCTTCACCGGCGACTTCTGCTTCAGTTAGTTCGGGCGTTGCTATTTTAGTCCCATCGCCATTCACCCTTACTTCGCAGACTGAAATTTTGCCTGGCTTGGTCCTCTCGGCAAGAGTCCAACATTTCGCTCATCGCTGTGAGATCATCTGCGTATATGCTCATCCAGACAAGCTTGCTGAAGTTGGCCGTGCGCTGGTTTCGTACCTTGCGGCAAGATCCCAACGAGACGAGCTTTTTGTGATGGGAGACTTCAATCACATGGCCGAAAAACAACCAGGACTATGGGAACTCATTTGTGCGGAGGGGCTCCTCCGTAGAGTCTCGGGAGGGGGAATCCCGACCTATCGCTCCGGTAATGTGTCGTCCTGCCTGGACGAAGTTCTGCATAATGAGGAAGCTGAAGGCTGCCGCCGCCTTAGGAGTCGGGTTTTTTGGCCCCATGCACTCCCACAAGGCCATGGTGTTGTAACATTACGGGTACGTAAAGCGCGCATGCTCTCCAATGACGTCGGAGCGTCTACCTATCGAGCGATACCAATACGTGCCTTTAGGCAACAATCGTAATGTCGTATGCCCCTTCAACATGCATCCCTGCACACTCGTCTCATCCGGCCAAGGTGCGCCTCGAAAGGCTCAAAGTCCTTCTTCCTAACTCACCCACATTGCAAGACCTTCAAAGTCTTTTCCATGTGTGGTGGGCTGGGGAGCTTGAGCACACCTCCCGTGCGGTCTCAGAAGGGAAATATGGCGCCCTTCCATACTTACTGAAGCGACAGCGCAGACGCCCGCACGCATCCTCCTTCACCGTCCCATGGGCCGTCTTTGAGACTTTCCAACACCTGCTTGAAGCACGGCCCCTTCATACGCAAGGCCAGCCGGTAACAATCAGTGCTGTGGAGGCTCAGCAAGTTGTCATGCAGTTGACAACACTGGAAACGGTCAATGTTGCCCCGCCTCCCATAATTAAAGACGCTCGGCAGCTGGGGGCACGTATGCCACACAAACACCCGAGATGGGATCTTCATCGATCATCTTTGGGCTCCTTCGGAACCACGCATGTACTGCGGGCTGACGGCTCACCTTGCTCCACTCTTGGAGAGGTTGACGCTGCCTTGCGCGCCACGAGGGCCTTTTGGCAGCAATCCCCGCCGGATCACTCCCCGGAATGGGAGCTCGTCCTCCGCGACTATCAGCCACAGCCTGCAGCCAGGTGTGCTCTTCCTCAGGAGGAGGACATCATGTTCCATCTCTTGCGCGCGGGTGACTCTTCGGCGGGACCCGATGGTTGCCCCTATGAGTGTTATCGTCAGCTGCCTACTGAGTCTGCGCGTGCTCTTCACTCTCATTTTGTCGATATCATCCTTGGGAGCGCTCCGCCCCCGACACAGGCACTGACCTTTATTCCCAAAGCTGACGCGGGCCAATACGCGGACAACTTTCGGCCGCTTGACATGCCTGACACTGCTGCTCGTATCATTGACTCCGCTGTCTTTGCGTCAGCCATGGCTGTCATTGCCCCTTGCCTCAATCAGTCGCAGGCCCTTGTTAGCCAGCTAAAGGAGGCCCCTGCCAACTTTATGATGGTCCAGGACTGTTTGTTGTCCGAGTCGCAGCCTTGCAATGTCCTGCTTACTGACATGGCCAAGGCCTTTGAAAGGGTCAACCCGGGGTGGCTTCTTGAGGTCTTGGAGCGTCTTCGCGTTCCACAGCGGGTTCGACAATATACCATCCATCTTCTTTATGGTCGTCAATCCCTGCACCGCATCCAAGGCCTCTTGCTTCCTCCTTTTCGCATGAGACGAGGCCTTGCTATGGGACGAGCCACGTCCGTTCTTTTATTTTGCGTAGCCATGGACCCATTGATCTGTTCGCTACATCGCATTCCACGGGTGCGAATGCTCAAAGCGTATATGGACGACAACTCCACTGCAGGCTCGGAGGTTACATGGGTGGGCGACGCGCAAACAAAGTTCACCTCTCTTTATAGTGCTGGATTTCATGTCCTCAAGCACCAGTGCTTTTCGGCGGTCAGGGTCCCGATTGCCCTGGCGGAGCAATTGCACTATGCCAGGGCTGAAGGTATCGTCTCGCCGGCCCCGCCGGAGTTCCATGACCTTTTCCATCAAACTGCTGACCCTCTCTTTTCGGCTGCCAGCCTCACTGAAGTCTGTCGTCGAGTTCACCGGTTGTACCCCAGCGACGTCCCGAGTGTACAGTGGTTTTGTTGTAAATCAGGTGAAACCCTCCTTCTAGCTACCCAACACGCCCTCCAGGCTTACCTTGCAGGTCATTTTGCCAGCTGTGGGACTGTCAGCTCCTTTTTGCGTGCGCCTTGCCAATGCAAGTGCAAATCCTCCTTGTTGTTTGGGAGAGCACCTAGCCCGGAGCAAATCTACCAGCTTGATGCCACGCCCTGGGGACCCAAACTGTGTACGGAAACGGCTCCGGTCTTGGGCTTTATGCTGTGGGGTGCGCCAACATACGTTGGCAGCACGGCGGGCCCATGTACCCTTCCTAAAGCACAGATTCTCCTCACGGGCCAAAAAGCGGCCTCGTCCATTGCCCGTAAACGGAAGCTTTTCAGCCCCCTTCGCCAGTCATTGCCCGAGCGAGCCATTTGTTGCCGGGCGTACCTGCAAAGCTGCCTCCAATACACACAGCAAGTCATTCCGCCCGACGCCGGCGAGCAGCAACGTACCCTGGTTGCCTGTGCCCGGTACGTTTTGGGGGGAGGGCGACATTGGCTTGAGGCCAAGCATGTTAACGGCGTGTTCCGCATTTTCAAGCTCCCACAACCTGGTACGTGGCGGTTGTCTTGCCCTCTGGGGAGATTAGGATTTCTGCTGCGCTTGGCCCCCAAACTGGCGATTGCTGCTGTGGGGGGTATGCGTCCGGTCTTATCGACTGAAAAACCTCTCCTCGCCTCCGTCTTGGGGCAGGTTACCCGCAGCCTTGTCAACGCTACTTCAGCGCTGCCCATACGTGATGCCCTTCAACAATATGCACGAACATTGGTCGCCACCAATTTTAGTGCTTGGAATGAAGGGTCTCAAACCGAGTCACTTTCGCATGTCCGCAAGCTCTACAAACGATGCATTCTTGAAACTGAAGACTCTCAGGCCGCTCATTACTTGCTCGACAAAATTGCTAAGCAGCCGTGGGCGGCGGCTGGCTTGCAATGGGTTGCGGGCGTCCTCACCTGCCCTGCCAGTCTCTCCAGCACGGTGGCACGAGCGTATGCCCTTAGGTGGATTGTTGCCGAAGAGGCGGATGCGAGCTTTGTCTATCGGCAGCATTATACGCGACCCGTCACATGTGCGCAGTGTCACTATCCCTACCCTCCGGCCAGCCTGCACCGCCTTGGGCACTCGGGACAGGGCAGCCTCTGCCGGGGTTGTCTTTTAGCCATGGGTTGGCCAGAGCACAAAGCTTGGCTTGCGTGTAAGGTTGAGGCACTTGCTCCATTTGTTCTTGAAGATGGGGATGAGTGGTGGAACATGCCCAGCCTGGACATACCTGATAGATCCTTTTCGTGTAATTTTACACGTTCGGAAAATTTACACGCCAAAAGCGGTATAAATGATTTATACGCCAAATTGGGGTGTAAAAAAATTACACTTTTTTGTGTAAATTCTGGCGTGTAAATTTTGTCCTATTTTGTTCAATGGGCCAAGCTGTGCCGAAAAGGTGTTTTGAAAACCAGGCACTGGGAAGTGCGAAGTGTCGAAAAAGTAGTGGATTCCGAATGCCGGGCAGGCCGACGTGGCGATAGATTCGTATAGATTCCGAAAGCGAGATTTGCCGACAGAGACAACATGTACAGTTGTGACTCCGAAGGCCGAGCACAAGCCGAAGTGCCCGCGAGCATGGCTTGTCTTGTTTCGGTGAAAAAACAAAAGAAAAAGAGAAAGAGAGAGCCAGAGAGCGAGAGAGCGAGTTATCGGGCAGGGCTATAGGGTTCCCCTTTGTCGTTTGGTGTGACACCGAGTATATATATAGGTCTTTCGCACTTGGCAGGATGCATTTTATGATATATATATATATATATGTATCCTCTAAACCACAGGAGCTCCTGAAATCCGTTCTTGCTTGTGTGACTTGTGCATGATTGTCCGTGAAACAGTATCACCTACCCCCCGCCATACATCACTGCAGGGCCACTGGCCTGCGGCTTGAGGGCAAGTCCCTGCACCACTCCTCGACCGGCAAGTCTGGATGCAGATCCAGTCGGTAGCACTGGACCTCCTGCCGTAACCGGCTCACGGAGGTCAGCTGCTAGAGGCCAAACAGCCGGATGGCAAGAAACCGGTCGTTTTCAAGGGGGTCATGAAGGAGGAGGAAGCAGACAAGCTTCCGTCCGGGCTTTCGGGGGCGGCAAAACCGGAAGCACACTCCTGTGACCTTGTTGAAGGAAGGTGCACACCCCTCGGGCATGGCGGTTCCACCCTGGCCGAGTGGAGGTGAGACTTACACCGGTGTTTGCAAAGACCGCGGGGGAGGCCATCTAAAGCCGGAAGTGCGCGGAGTGCAAAACCCTTGCTAACGCACTTCTTTTAAGCCACAACAGGGCTGCAGGTAACACGTATTGGGCTCACTGTACAACAAGTTAAAGTTCAAGGGAAAGGCTGCACATACATCGTGGTATTTGCGCACCCCCCCTGCAGTCTTGCCTTGTTTGGGCTACTGCAACAGTTGAGCGCCACGCTGCTCACCAAAAGGAGAAAAGAAAACACTAGCACTATAGCGCCACAGAGGACTGCTCCACAGTCCAACTCTCTGAAAGCTTCAGAGCAGGCGCCCTGGCTTTGCTCACTACAAGGGCTTCTCCCATGTTCAGTGAGGTAGCTCCCTCTGGTAAGGCTTGTACACGACGCTACACAACTGTCTGAGTGAAAGCATTGCGGCCATCATGGGCTTCCATTTGTGTCGCGCTTTCAGGCTGTCGCTTTCAACGACCGCACTGACCTTGCTCAATGCTGTTCGTCTCACCTGTTCATCCATTCCAGATTTGCTGAGCTGTACCATTCCTGTGAGTTCACATGCTTGTTTCATATCTTCGCCTGTTTTGAGGTGCTTTGTCAAACAGTCAGCTGGATTGGCTATGCCCTTCACTTTGGCAATGATCACCTGTTTGGTTTTCACAAGTTCTTGTACGTAGAGGTGTGCAAGAGAAATGTGTCTCATCTTCCCTACTCCTATCCGCTTTGCTGCCTGCAGCGCCGCAGACGAGTCACACCAAATGCGAGGCGTTGAGACCGGAAGGTCGAAATCATGAACTGCTAAGTTCTGAATGTACATGCAGGACTGTGCGCAGTGATTCAAAGACCTCAGCTCTGCTTCTCCTGAGCTCGTGGCTGGATTACCAGATTGAGTGCTCGAGTTCGCTTCAACCACTGTGCCTCCTAGCACCAAAACCTCTCCCGATGTAGACTTCCTCGATTCGGTGTCCCCTGCATAGTCACTGTCACAATAGGCATGAAGCGGTAGCTCCCGCTCTCCGGCGGGACCCTCTTCGACTCCTTCCAGTACTGGTCCACCCTTAGCGTCTTGGAGTCCCAAAAGCTTAAGGATGTTGTCTGTGTGTTTTGCGTTCGGCTTGGTGAGCACGGCTTGCTCCACACTGATCTTCTCACGACCAAGAAACTCTGAGCTTGTCTTTCCGTGTTTCTCTGGAAACTCAAACTCCCCGACCTTCACCTTGCAACCATGCTTGGGTAATTCAACCTTCAAGAGATTGTTCAAATCATCCTCTGGTCCCGTCGCGTCAAAATCGTCTATGTGGTGTATTACAACCACCTTTGTCTTCTTGCACCTGAATATGCATCCATCCAGACGTCCTCGTACGAAATCGTATCGGTCTTTCGGCAACTTGTTGACGATGATCTCTTCAAGCCTGTCCCTGTACTGGCTTGCTGCGGGTTGTCTCCCGTAGATGTTACCATCTACCTGCCAAACCAAATGCTCTTTTGGGATGCCCTCGAGCTCCTTTCTCTTTTCTTCAGGTTGAGCTGCCAGCCAAACCTCAAAATTGCCCAGCCATTCTCGTGGTGGCTTCATGCACACTGGCTGTCCTTTATCATCACCTTGATCTCGGGCTATGAGGAATGCTGATGTCAGGTCTGCTTTTACACGCGGGAAGTTGTGGTACAAGCTGTAGATCTCCAGCATCTTGCAGGTGCTGTGTCCTGGGGTTGGACAAAAATTTTTCTGCCCTTCAGAGGAGTTCTTGTCCTCGTTGCTGTTCCGCTTGAAGTCCTGACAAGTCAGCCTAGACTTTGCGATCCCATTGCTGACCTTGTCCACCCAACAGTGTCCAAATACCTTTATTTCCTTCGGCAAGACCCTACGGTCACGAGGGGTAAAGGCATTGAACATCACGTCAAGCTTGTCGATTTCCTCAAGTCTGGCTTGGTGTCTTGCACCTTCATCCACAACACACGAATCCAAGTAGTCAGCCACAGAGGCCAACTGGTCTCTTTTCTCAGACTCCTCAAGGATTGCGCTGATGGCTCCCTCCATTGTGGTAGCACCCACGGGCGTTTCCGCCTCTTGGGTGTCACCCCGATCTACAGGTCCTACTCCTCCTGCCTCGGAGTGTCCAGAGTGTCTTGATCTGGATCTTGACGTGGAGGAGCTTGAGCTGGACGGGCTGTCACTGCTGCTCGCCTCTCCAGGCACTGCTCTAGAGGCCAATGCTGTCGGACTCTGTGACTCGACTGCTGGAGCTGGCTCTGATTTGGCTTTGGCTGTAACGTCTGTTCTCCTGACCTTTGTAGTCCTTTCTGCCTCTGCTGCCATCCTCTTTGCTTCATCTGCCGCACTCATGTCCGCATCAATCTGGATAGCCTCTCCTCCAGCATCCTCAGCTTCACGGCGTGTGGTGTGCATGCTCTGGGCAGGCACTGGTGGCTCTACAGGCTCACTGTCTTTAGGCTCTGCCTTGTCAGGGACTTCGTCCTGAGCGCTCGCTTCAGGGACGATCTGAACTCTCAGCTCACTCATTGCTGCTTCAGGTTTGTTCTGTTCGGCCTTGTACACTGTGTTCCACGGCACTCCAGCTGCTCCGTCTAAAATGCTTGCTTGATAGCGCTTTCCAAACGCCATCCTTCTGACAGTCCGGAATGTCTGCGCACCGGCGCTGGTCAACAGGATGTGCTCATCTGAGCTGGTTGTTTTCCCAGCATAGATTCCACACACCCATCTGGTGGCACTCTTAGCGCCAGACTTCTTTGCTGAGTACTTTCCCAGCGCACACTCACCAAAAGGAAGACACTCAGCGGCGTAGTCGTATCCCTTCAGCACTCGGAACGGAGTAGTTCGGGTCTGGTTGATGTGAAATCTTGGTAAAGACCAGCTAACAAATCTGACAATCCAAGGAAACAGAATGTCTGTCGTCTGAATCACCTTGTCGCTGTAGCTCTCCTTCAGGCTGGCCACCCAAGTCCTGACCTTGCCCGCGATGAGTCCATTCACCATCTCCCCATCCGCCAGGCTCTGTGATGAATACCTCGGGCTCTTCCGCAACGCCACCACTTCAATGCCCATCCTCTGCTGCACTTGTTCGAACACCTTTGCGAGGGCACTCTCCTGATCGATCTGAATGGTGACCTTCTTCCACCCTAAATCCTTTATCCAATCAGCGAGCGCGTTGACTGCATACGAACTCCGCTTGGCACCTTTGTGAGGCACCTGCGCAGCGAAAGGGCATTGACTGTCCTTGTCAATGGCTGTCAACACGATAGCCATGCTCTTCAGCTCCTCGGCGTCCTTGTTCTTTTCGACCTCCTCCTTGCTCTTCTGCTTCCCTTCGGCTGTGAAGTACATGTAGTCACTATAAATGATGTGCTCCTTGGGGTCCTCGTGTTGGCGTCGGTGTGGTCGCTCTTTTCCTTGTCCTTCAACGCAAACCTTACACCATGGCTCAAAGTTTGCATGATGCAATGAATGCTCAGCAATCTCCGCAGGGCTAGGCTCAACTGGCTCAGCCATCAGAGGCTGCTGCTTCGCTTCATCGCGTTCCTTTAGTTCCCACAGCGTCAGGTCGTCATCATCCTGTGCGTCATCCGCATCAGGTGATGGCTCAGCGTCTCTCTCATCTTGGGCCTTCAGCTTGAAAACCGTCTCTCCAGTCCAGTGCTTTCGCAGGGACGCCCTGGGATTCTTGACACCGAACCAGTGATCCTCGAAGCTTTCGCCGTCACCATCGCGGCGGTCAACCCACTTGGCTTCAGTGGCTCGGCTTGGTTCCAAGTCTCCTACGATCACCGGGCAATCATCAGCATCTGCAGGGCTGAACATCTTTAGCCTAGGCACCACATGAACACGGACAACCAAGTCCCGCTCAAGTCGCCAGTAATCTCTCTGCTTCTTTTCGCTCACTGGGATCCTAGACGACGAAGATGAGGTAGCACCCTCAAGCGCCGCAACACGCTGGGCAGTGTCACCTACCTCATCAGGCCAAACCTTTCCAACCTTCAGGTACCACCTCTTGCCTTTCTTGATCAACGGGTACTTCTTGCCATCTTTCACGAGGTAGCTTCCGCTCCGACGAAACATGACATCATAGTCTCTCTCCACAAGGTTGTGCACGCTAAGAAGAGTTTCACTGGCATCGGTGACTGTGAGGTCTATTTCCCCTACGGTGCCATCCAAAAGCCTAATCTTTGGGAACTGTTTCCCATAAATCTTCAAAGCGGTACCTTGCACAGAGAACAGTTGCTTGCCATACGGTAGAGGCTTGAAGTCATCTTCAAACTCCCCTTTCCGAGCTACGTTTTCACAAGCTCCAGAATCAATCAACATGTAAACGTCTTCACTGACACTGTCATCATGGATGCCACTGATTCGGTCTGTTACTGCAAACAACATGTGACTGTGATCGCTCTCTTCTACATGCTCAGAAATGGATCCTACGCCTCCGGTGGAAGCTTGCGCTTCCGCACCCGCTTGCTCTTCGGAAACGTCCGAAACCTTCCACCAGCAATCAGCTGCAATGTGACCGTACTTCTTGCAAATGTGGCACTGTTTCCCAGCGTGTGGATTGTTGCCAGTTCCTTTTCCTTTTCCTTCCTTGTTTCCTTTACCTTGCTTTCCTTTTGAGTCCTTTCCGTTTCCTTGTTTTCCTGTTTCTTTTCCTTTTCCTTTATCCTTCCCACCTTTCTTTCCTTCTCCTTTGTCCTTACCTCCCCGATTGTCCCAACCTCGGTTGTCACCCCCTTTTCCCCAGCTCCAAGGTTTGTTGTTGTCGCCCTTGTTGTTGTTGCCCTTTCCTTTTCCTCCATAGTCCACGGCTCCTATGTCCATGGGCGCAGGGCCACCATCGTCAAGCTGAGACTTCTTTGGTGCACCGAAACTCGAGCCTTGGGGTCTTTTCCAGAGGTTTCGGGAAGTGAGGTACTGCTCAATGTACTCTTTGGTCTTGCTGTAAGTGTCAAGCGTATTGCTGTGAAGAAAGATCATCTGCTGAATCTCCTTAGGTGCAACATGAACCAAAACACTGAGTTTGTCATCAGGCTCAATCTTGCGAAACTGCTTCTCAAACTCACTGACTTCGGCCTCCCACTGGTGAAAGGCTTCTGACCACTTGTTGATGTCGCCAGGGAACTGCGGATTCATGAGATGTCTTCTCCATACCCAGCTCTTTGTTCTGTTGCTAGGCTCGTTTGTCCTACTTAGCATGCGCCAGACCTCAAGACCATTTCCATCTGGCACCTGGGTAATCAACTGCTGTGTCTGCTCAGAACAATAACCGACAAGGATAGTGTAAAGAGCTTGACTCAACTGCAAATCCTCAAGCGTGACATCCTCACCGTCATGGTCAATGTTCTCTTTCTGCTTGGATGCCCAGTTCAACAAACCAGGATACCTAGCATGAATGGTTCCTATCCATGACATGAAAATATGCTTCCACCGCTCCCAGTCTTCTTTGCGACCAGAGAACGTAGGCGGTCGGGGGATGTTCCTAGGGTCCACCAGTCGCCCCCCGGCCCTCTCGCCTTGATGTGAGTTGGTTCTGAGCTCTGTGAGCTCTGTTTGCTGCTTTGTGATTTCTGCTTGCTGCTTCAAAATTTGATCACTCTGTTCCATCATCCGCGCGCCCATTTCGGCCATTTGTTGCTGCATCTGTAACAGCTGTCGCTCCATGGTTCCCACGGTGTTGTCCCTTGACCCACTACGGAGTGAAATCAAGGAAACTCAAAAGAAAGGGAAAACTCAAACACTGTACAGGAACGCACGTGCACCGACCTGCTCACGATCGTATGCGGCAGCTCCCGCTTTAGTAGGGGTGTCTTCCCCAACGCCAATCCGATCCCCACTGTTGGTACCGGTAGTTGCTGTGGTAGGGCCTGTATTCCTCCCAGCCTTGGTTGTGGTTCCCACTCCAGTTGTTCTGCTCGTCCCGGTTCCAGATTGTGGTACTTGACCGCCAGCTGGAGCTACCAGTCCTCCCAGAATACTCTGTTCTGGTTTCAGTGACGCTGTCCTCGGTGACACTGAAATGGGTCTCGTCGTCCGACCCCTGACCAGGGTAAACGGTCTCCTCCTCGGAAGACTCGTACACTGTAGTGGCCGGGTGGCTCGCAGTAGCTGCTCCTTCGACAGTACGGTTGTCAGATCCGGGTCTGTGTGTCACTGAACTTGGTCCCGCACTCGAGCTGCTAGCTCCACTCGCCACACGCTCCACTGCTCTGTCTCTGGCGAAGCTAACACGGGCTTGCTTCCCAGGTCTGTCCTCCAAGAAACGCTGGGCAAAGGGCGTTCCACGGAAGACTGCTTCTCGTGCTTTCTGAGCACGTTTGTAGTTGACGCTGTTCCTGTCCCTCCTTCGCTCCGCTCGGTCCGCTCGTGTCCACAATCGTCAAGCTCCGATTGGCTCGTCCTAAATTTTGGGGCTAAAGGGCCGAAGATCGTTGCGTCCTACGGCCCTGAGCCCTGTCGATCTTTCGTTTTTGGTTCGAGGCTGTAGGCTCAACACCCTTTCGATTTTGAATCAGCTCCCTCGTAGACGATCTCTGGTCGAGCGAGAGCACACCCGCGTAAGAGAGAGCTCGGACCGAAATCAAACCCAGCCGATCTGCCCTCCAGGGGCGAATCGAAGAATCTGTGTGACATTTTCGGCGCAGTTGACCAGGGAGGTGTGTCGTTCCCTGATGAGCTCTCGCGATTGATCTAACCCATGGGCAGGTTCCGACGAGGTTCCGCAAGTTTTGGTGATGTTGTGGAGCAAGTTCCGGGCTAGTTTTAGCAGGTTCTGGCGAGGCAGGTTCCGGCAGGTTCCAGAGGTTCCGAAGCAAGTCCCGACTTCTGTTGTGCGGGGCGTAGGGACGAAGCGGATCCTGAACTGTTTAGTTTCACCTCGCGGTAGCTCGAGAAAAGAAAATATATCTTCAATTTGTCGTCACTCAATTTGAAATATTTCATTTTGTGTTTCGACTTTTTCAGTTTGACATGCTTTTACACTTTCATGTATGCCATGTAAGACTGCGAAGCGATCACATCCGAAGCTTGGCATCAAGTTCTAGATTCTAGATTTTTCACCCGCCCACCCTACCCGGGGGAGAAGAGTGTGATGCCTTCGGGTGTGGATGAGTCGGAGAGCGGCTGTGCTGCCTCTGCCGTCCATTGATTTACTTCCGACTTCAAAGATCCGAGCAGTGCGAGGGAGGTGTGAGAACATGTGCGATCCTTTGGTGAGCTGTATGCGGAATTTATATTTTTTTTAATATTCCGTTTGAGATTTCCATCGAGTCTCTTCTTTCTCAATATATATTCCGATTGAGATTCCAACGGAATACCTTTTCGAACATGTTTCGATTTGTATTTACAGTTCTGGGACCACACGACAGACGTCTAGTGTCTGCGGGCGGATACTTCTGTCTGTTGTGTGGGGCGTAGGGACGAAGCGGACCCTGAACTGTTTAATTTCACATCGCGGTAGCTCGAGAAAAGAAAATATATCTTCAATTTGTCGTCACTCAATTTGAAATATTTCATGTGTGTTTCGACTTTTCAATCCACATGCTTTACACTCTCATGTATGCCATGTAAGACTGCGAAGCGATCACATCCGAAGCTTGGCATCAAGTTCTAGATTTTTCACCCGCCCACCCTACCCGGGGGAGAAGAGTGTGATGCCTTCGGGTGTGAATGAGTCGGAGAGCGGCTGTGCTGCCTCTGCCGTCCATTGATTTACCTCCGACTTCAAAGATCCGAGCAGTGCGAGGGAGGTGTGAGAACATGTGCGATCCTTTGGTGAGCTATATGCGGAATTTATACATCTTTTTAATATTCCGATTGAGATTTCCATCGAGTCTTATCTTTCTCAATATATATTCCGATTGAGATTCCAACGGAATACCTTTTCAAATATGTTTCGATTTTTATATACAATTCTGGGACCACACGACAAACGTTGCGGGGCAAATTCCGAGGCAGGTTCCGGCAGGTACCGGCGAAGTTCCGAAGTTCCGGTGATGTTGCGGGGGAAGGTCGGGGCAGGTTCCGGCAGGTTCCGGAGCGGTTCCCGGGCAGGTTCCGGTGAGGTTCCGAAGCAGGTTCCGAAGCAGGTTCCGGTGATGTTGCGGAGCTTCCAGCAGTTCCGGCAGGTTCCGCAGCGGTTCCGGGGCATGTTCCGAAGCAGGTTCCGGTGATGTTGCGGGGTTTTCCGGCTGGCTACTCAAGCATGAGGGCATGAGGGTCCGGGGTCTGTGGGTCCGTTCCGGGGCAATGCACACTACCACTGCCACTACGAGACTTGGAGGTGTGTGTGGATTCTGCGTGCCTATCATTGAAACAAAAAAGTTTCAAAGTGTCATTTGACACCTTCGCCTCCTATCATGGAGATGCTGCTTCAGGGTGTAAGGTTTAGGCCTTAGGCGTCCAGGGTTTCTTTGTAATTCAGTTTCCGAAGCTTCAAACCAAACCCGCATGCATTTCCCGAGGCCTGGTAAACGCATTTGGCCTGCGTTGCAGCAGATCTGGACCTTGAATGCCGTCCCTAAACCTGCTGTACACGCTTTGCTCGGGTCTCCAACGGCCCTAAACACATTTTTCAGGCTCGAAAAAAACGCATTTTACAGCTTTGTCAGCCTTGCTAATGCCCCTCCTTGTCCCACTTCCGGGCTTGTAATTCAGCTCCCAAAGCTTCAGACCGAGCCCAAATGCCATTTTCCGAGGCCTGGTAAATGCAGTTGGCTTGCGTTGCAGCAGATCTGGACCTGAATGCCGTCCCTAAACACGAAAATCCTGCTGCACGCGCTTTGCTTGGGTCGCCAACACCCCCAAACACATTTCTTAAGCCTTTAAAAGCGCATTTTCCAGCTTCTCAGCCTCGCTAACGCCCCTGCTGGTCACAGATCCGGCTTGTAATTCAGCTCCGGAAGCTTCAAACCGAGCCCAAATGCATTTTCCGAGGCCTGGTAAACGCATTTGGCCTGCGTTGTAGCGTGCTCAACCTCCATGCCGTCGCGAAATGCGACAATCCTGCTGCGCACGCTTTGCTTTGATATGTAAAAGCCCCAAATGCATTGTCCAAGTTTTCAAAATCACATTTTACATTTTTCCCGCCTTGCTAATGCCCCTCCTGGTCCCGACCCCGGGCTGTAATTCAGCTCCGGAAGCTTCAACCCGAACCCAACATTTCCCGAGGCTTGGTGAACGCATTCTGGACCTGGAAGCCGTCCCTGCCCCTCCTGGTCCCAGTTCCGGGCTGTAATTCAGCTCCGAAAGCTTCAAACCGACCCCACATGCATCAAAAAGACTGGCTGTGCCACCGCTGTGTTTGCACACTTTCTAAAGTTTATTTTTTACCGATGCCTCCGAGATTGCACGTCTTGGACAGTAGGTAGAACCGACATTTCAGTGAACTGTTTTTTTCGATGGTTTGCATTGCCTCAAAAACTTCCTTCTTCCAAGGCGTTTGTTTTTGCAGACGAAAAGGGAACTGAAAAAATCTGACGGGAACTAAAAAAATCCCATTGAATAACCGCAACAGCGGAATGGCTGTCGTCGAGCTCACATGAACGGGTGCCAGAAAAGCTCAAAGAGCTGTAGATGCAGGCATTGAACAAAAGATTCTGATTCGCTTAAGGTAAGCGCGTGCAGTGGAACATTCGGGGTTAGGGAGCTCATGGAAGTTTAGATCTGCTGCAACGCAGGCCAAATGCGTTTAGCAGGCCTCGGGAAATGCATTTGGGCTCCCTCTGAAGCTTCGGGAGCTGAATTCCAGCCCGAGAGTGGGTGTAAGGCTTGCGCTTCTTGCTTTGGCTGCTGCGGCTGCTTCCTCTTCCTCTTTGTCTCTTCTCTCCTGTTTGCTGCGACTTCCTCTAGCACTCTGCGTGCTTTTGCGATCTTCTCCTCTTTTTCCTTCTTCTTTGCGATCTTCTCCTCTTTTTCCTTCTTCTTTGCTTGTGCTTTGCTTTATTTTGTTCCTCTGAAATCCTGTTGCTCTTCCCAGTTCCTGCTTCCTCTTCTATCTCCTTTGGCTTCCTCTGTCTTTGCCTTCTTTTGCTTCTTTTTCTCTTCCTTTGTTCTCCCTTTTTTTGTTCTTTTCTGGTGCTTGTACTTGTGGTCCGTGTCGATCCAAACCGTTTCTCCTGTAACTCTGTGGTGCCTGTAGATTTTGCGGTTCCCGGTGTACTCCTTCCACTCGCTGCCGTAGTCGTAGGTGTGCGGAAAGCTTGCTGCTTCCTTTTCCTTCTTCTTTGCCTTCTCCTTGCTCCTTTTTGTTGATCTCTCTAATCTTCCTCTTTCTTTCCTATTCCTTTGCCTCTTTGTTTTCCTCTTCTTCTTTCTTTTCCTCTTTTCCTTCTCCTTCTTCCTCTGCTCCATCGGAGTATCTCCTCCAACGTAGCTTTGCGTGTAGCCCCTGTTCTTGTTCTCGGCGTAGTCCTGCTGTTCCTGGTCTTGCTCCAAAATCCTGTCGAAGTAGGCTCTGTCAGACCACTCCTCGAGGTCTGGCTCTGTTCCTTGACCTTTCTTTCTTCTCTGCTTCCTTGGTGTGGACGTAGGTGACGTAGCTCTCGACGTTGTTCCTGGGCCGCGTCCTGTTCTTCTCAACTCTGCTTCTTCACGCCGGTCTCGTGCTTTCTGTTCCTTCTCTTCTACGGTTGCTTCCTGGCCGTGTTGGTTGGTCTGGTAGTAGACGTCGTTCATGTCATAAGTTCCTGTACCTGCTCCTTCAACATGTCACAGGCAATGAATGCCTGCCGCATCTCGTGCTGAGCGATGGCTCGCTCACGGTCGTTCGGTTCCTGCATCTCTTGTACATGCAATTGCGCAACAGAAAGACAATTTCTGAAGTTCCTGAATTCCTGAAACTCTTCGTGAAAACCAAAACTCCCAAGACACTGTTCCTTGCAACTCTGAAACTGAAGACTCTCTAAAGTCACCGAAATTCCTGCAAACAACAAAGCTGCAAAAGACAAACATGCTTGGCTATTGGTGGTTCCGTCTCATGTCTGGAAGCTTACCAAAGTATTCCCGATGTGCGGCGGCCAACGGCGGCATGATGCCAAGTGGAGCGACCGCCCATGTGAAATCAATCAAAACGCTTCGTTGAGTAGCCAGCGCTGAGTGTTGGGCTTGCACTTCTGAAGCACAGTTGGTTCCCACAGTATCTCTCTCCCTCTGTTTCTCTCTCTATCTCTCTCTCTCTCTATCTCTCTTTTTCTCCTGCTCTCTCTCTCTCTCTCTCTCTCCCTCTCTCCCTCTCTCCCTCTCTCCCTCTCTCCCTCTCTCCCTCTCTCCCTCTCTCCCTCTCTCCCTCTCTCCCTCTCTCCCTCTCTCCCTCTCTCCCTCTCTCCCTCTCTCTCCGTCTCTCCGTCTCTGCGTCTCTCCGTCTCTCCGTCTCTCCGTCTCTCCGTCTCTCCGTCTCTCCGTCTCTCCGTCTCTCCGTCTCTCCGTCTCTCCGTCTCTCTGTCTCTCTGTCTCTCTGTCTCTCTGTCTCTCTGTCTCTCTGTCTCTCTGTCTCTCTGTCTCTCTGTCTCTCTGTCTCCCTGTCTCTCTGTCTCCGTCTCCCTGTCTCTCTGTCTCTCTGTCTCTCTGTCTCTCTGTCTCTCTGTCTCTCTGTCTCTCTGTCTCTCTGTCTCTCCGTCTCTCTGTCTCTCTGTCTCTCTGTCTCTCTCTGTCTCTCTCTGTCTCTCTCTCTCTCTCTCTCTCTCTCTCTCTCTCTCTCTCTCTCTCTCTCTCTGTCTCTCTCTGTCTCTCTGTCTCTCTTTCTCTCTGTCTCTCTCTCTCGCTCTCTCGCTCTCTCGCTCTCTCTCTCGCTCTCGCTCTCGCTCGCTCTCTCTCTCTCTTCTCTCTTCTCTCTTCTCTCTTCTCTCTTCTCTCTTCTCTCTTCTCTCTTCTCTCTTCTCTCTTCTCTCTTCTCTCTTCTCTCTCTCTCTTCTCTCTCTCTTCTCTCTTCTCTCTCTCTCTCTTCTCTCTGTCTCTCTCTCTCTTCTCTCTCTTCTCTCTTCTCTCTTCTCTCTTCTCTCTTCTCTCTCTCTCTCTCTCTCTCTCTCTCTCTCTCTCTCGCTCTCTGTCTCTCGCTCTCTCGCTCAGTTGAAACCGTGCAAACACACAGCAACGAAACTTGAAGGATTCATTCGCCATGCTGGCTATTGTAGCTGTTACTTTTTGCAGTACGATAAAACTTTGGCAGAACTGTGCTCGAAGATGTCGCCCAATATCTGTCAGGTATGTTATGTGACAATTGCGTGCGGCAAATGTCGAATGCTTTTTCATCTTCACCGATAGCAATTGCGTCATGGAATCGCAGAGAACCGACAACGATTGTTTGCAAAATCCATTGAAGCTGGTATGAATGCTGTTCGAACAACTCGCGGTTTGGAAGAGTAGACGCAGTTTGTCTCGAGCAGTTGAAGTTTGGGCACGAGATGACGCACATAAGGGTGTGGCCGTCAGATCGCAGTGCTATCATTGACCATGCAACGGAGCATGTGAATCAAGTTGACGTGTATTTGGTAGCACTGGCGGCTTTCGGTGTTTAGATTCGACGAGATCCCGTGCTGGTTTGTTCGATTCTGCTCAGCATGCGGACCATAGCATGATTCAATATTTCATTCACCCCATATCGATTTCACATGTTGTGCCGCCGGGGTAAATGGATGTCTCGGTCGTGCACGCGCCTTCAGTTTTCCAAGCTCTGCGCGGCGTTTTAGGAAAAGTTCTGACCAAAGCATAGTTGCATTTGCCATCATACGACACACACTCGTGTGGTTGCCGCAAGAAAGGTCGGTGACCGATGGAAGCCAAGTCAAATTGGCTGAACATTTGCGACACACTGCTCAGCGCCTGCATGGGGGAGTTCCGTCCAGAGCCGCTTTGCATGTTGAAGCGATGTGATTTCCTGTCCTGCAACCTTTAGTCCTCCCAAAAACGTGGACAGACATCCTCGTGTGCTTGTCGAAGGTGCATGACATTTCGCACCCGGGTCTGCATGAGGGATGCACTTGACATGTGCATGCATTCTGGTTTCATTCTTCGTCGCATCTTGTTTTTCCAACGTGTGCACCTTCGCATGTTCAGTGCCAGGTGCTCGTTGTCACCTGGAGCCGATTTTTTTCTGGCCGATGCGCCGCAGTTTCTTTGGCTCCGGTTTCTATGGCCGTCCTTCTATCCTTGGTTGTTTGCCACGTCTTTGGTTGGCGGTGCTCCGCCTTCCGTGAATCCAATGATTTGGTTGAAGCGCTGGATTCTGCCACTACTTGTGACCATGAAGCCCGCCCGCTGCTTGGCAGCAAAACAAAGCATAATGATTGCCATGTATATAGTCCTATACAGTGCACCTCGCCCGACTGGGCTGCTTCATGCTTGCTCCAAGGACCCCACCTGAGAAGTTTGATGGGATCTCGTTGAGCTTTGCTGACCCTGAGTTTAGCATCCTCGACTCCCGCGAGTTCTTTCTGTCGCCATTGCCAGATTGCACAAAAGCCCTCTCTGGTGTTGAGCTGCGCAAGGTGCCAAACTCCACTGCAGCTAAGCAGTTGCAGTTAAGCCAGCGATTCCAAGTGAAACGGATCAAGGATGCAATCGGCGCGGCCAGGAACCAAGATGCATCTTTCGTACGAGATGAGTACATGAAGTTGGTTGCTCCAAGCGGTTTGAGGGAAGCACCTGCTGTTGAAGTGCACATGTTTCCGGAAAGTGCGATGGACCCATACTCAAACTGGTCGGTTCTGGTTGTCCCCAGAAGCCGTGAAATATTTGGCAACACGTTCTTTTTGTGTGACGCTTTTGCGACCAATCGCTGCGTCGCCAAGCTGCCCTTCGAACCATTGCCGTTTCATCTTTCGCATGCATGGGGTGGTTGGGATCCCTTATTGGATGCTTCGAGGTCCGTGCCTCAGATTGAACTGGTTGCCGCCGAGTTCTTCTTGCTAATCGGTCTTGGAGTCCTGTGCTGCATAGTTGGTTGGACCGTTCTCAGACTGACAAAGTCCCTTTGCAAGATCTGTTGCTCACCTGCCTTGCAAACCATTGACAAGCTGTTGGAGCTACCTCTCCCACAAACATATCAGCTCATCAGCCCTGCCATAGTATATGCAGGAGCAGAGAGCCAGGAAATTTTGCTCCCTGAGCCGTTAGATCCCTACGATGGGCATCGTGAGGTAATAGTTATCGAGATGAAGAAGTCCGTTTGGCATGCCCGCACCTCTGCATTTAGGCGTCTGCTGGGTAGCCTGGGATATTGCTTATGGTCGAAGATTCCAGAAGCTGTGCTGGGTCGTTTGCAGACTCCACCCGGCTGGATCATACTGTACGACGAAACAAGCAGAACAGCTGGAGTTCGTGGCGCTGGCATCGCGGGACAAGCGCCATTCAAAGCACATGTGGACTTTCTCGTGCCTGTAGGCTCCGTGCTTCGTCGACAGCTGGTTCTTGCTGCGAGCCATGCCTCAGCACAATGGAAGCTTCTTTCCGACTTGGCTGGGCACTTACCCGTGTCCAGTGTCATGGTAGCGGCGCTAAGCGGCTTCTTGATGCATTTGCTCGTTCTTCAGCAAATTGACAGAAGTGTTTACTGGGCAGTGAACCATGATGAACTTTTGGAGGTGCAGCGGAAACGACTAAGCCCTTCTCCGAGCCATGCTCCATATGTATTCGCAGCGATTGCTTCGACGCAAGCTGCTGTGATTTTCACGACATCCAGCACCAAAGCCTTAGATCTCGTGCCTGGCTGCTCAACGCTGCTGGTTGCTGTGGGCGTGCACATGTGGGACTTGCACGTGTCTATCACGGGACTCAAGAAATGGCTGCAACCACAGCGCACCAACGAGTTTGTGAATGAGAGCGCTGTGTTGCCCAGGACACTTTACAAATTAAATACTGTGGCCAGCAAAAGGGAACCCTGACTCAATTGTGAATTATAACCTTTTGCTTTGTTGAGGTTGTCACGACTCGAGGGCGTGAACCAAAGAGCAGTTCTGCAGGGCTGCACTGCGGTGGAGTAAGCTCAACATGTGCTCCTGGCTCCCATGCTGAGGAGTGTCACTTCCTCACTTCAAGCATTTTATCTTGGGCAATGGCCACTGTTTCTTGGGTTGTTTTGGCCTACATGACCTTGGATGGAATGCGAATGCAGGGAGTTCTTGTCGATTACTCCTTCAGCCAGGGCTACCTCCTGTACGAAGCAGAGGCCGCCACCCTTCAGAACACGCTATTGTTGCACAGCAGCTCGGATTCTATGACGTTTGCATTTCAGATCGGAGAGTACACCTCGCGTTTGAGCCTGGAGTACCAGCACCCGCAATTATTGGGAAGTCAACAGGAGGTCCTGCTGTATTCCAACACACAAACAGGAGCTGCAACGATGACTTCGTCAGTGAAAGCCGGAGAGTACGAAGTGTTTCTTCCTAAGGGCCCTCTTTATAGTCGCATTATTCTTCGGGCAGCGAGCACGCTGCGAATCAAAGACACGGTGCCGCCCGGCGCAGATGATTCGTTTTCGATAGTAGAGAAAGCCAAGCTTTACGGCAGTATGTATGCTTGTAATGACCCGACGGCAAACCGAAGGTATGTGATTCATCTTGTGCGAATTGGGGAGACGGTTACAGTCACTTTGAATGGCACTGCTGATGTTGACGAGTCTTCAGACCTCAACCTTACCGTACCGTTTCATGAGAAGCGCCGCTGGAGTTACCTGGAGCAGCACGTCGACTGGCATGTGCCGGAGCTGCGGGGAAATCTGAATCTGTACGTTGAGCTTCGGCCCATCTGTTTTGCGCCCCTTGTCGGTGTTGCTCCATGGAAGGTGACAAAGTATGACTTGGCCCGAGTGGCGCCTTCGTGTGATTGCGGCTCGGAGATGCCTGGCTTTGGCAATGAATGCCTTCATCAGGAGGTCCTTACATTGCCAGGATCGGAGGCTTGCGTCTTCTTGCGCAGTGAGCGCCCTGCAAGGGGACGTCTCAGGCTGGACGACAGCGAAGGCAGCTTGTCTGGCAGGGGCTCGGATCTGGCGCAATGGTTGCGAGATGTGAGCATTAGCGGCAAATCTGTGGTTCTTCTAGTTTCTGCCGATGGTTCTGACTCCAGTTCAATATCTTGGAGGCCTCTCATAGCCCAAAATGCGACAGATGAGAAGGAGATTTCGAACTTGTTTCGACTCTCTGTGCCTGTGAAGTCCTTGTTGATGAAGAGCACACAGCTGCTAGTGGCTGCAACGCAAGACCCTACCGATGCTCATGAGTCTGCCTTGCCACTCCGAATTGTGCCTCACCCGCCTCCCGTCTATCTGAGTACACCAGACGGAGATGCTAATGCCTTCATGCTTCCAGAGTTCAGCGCAAACAATATGCGAACGGAATACACAGCCTGCTCGTTGAGCAGTGAGCAAGTAACGGACCACGTCCTGGATTCTCGCTTTGAGGTTCACGATATGCTAGTCCACTTGGGCGAGGACTGCCTACGCGATGAAGTCAAACACAAGCGCTTCTGGGTAGTTCGTAAGAAAACAGATGCTTGCAGCGAATGTGCAAGCTACCGGTACCCTTGGTGGAATGGCATTTACGACATAGCAGTGACGAGTTCGATCGTGAGATGCATGAGAGAAGCGTTGGACTTCGATGACAACGATGCTTTAAATCGCACAGTGGAGAATTTGACAGTGCTAACCAGGGAAACCATGCGTGTGGAGAACCAGTGCAACATCTTGCAAGTCGCGATTCGATTACAACGCCATACAATGTTGGACTTATTGCTCAAATACTTAAACCCATCCTGTCCACGCAGCGAGCAAACACCATTAGGCGTTGCAGCCGCAGAGGGAAATACGGCAGTGATGGAGTCGCTCATCGCACACCGTGCGGAGGTCAACGTGGTGGACCACCTCGACCAGAGTGCATTAGTCTATGCCCTCCGCAGCTGCAACGCTCCTGCAGTGGATCTGCTCATGAAGGCGAAAGCCGATGTGAATCAACACGTAGCTCCGAGCCATGGGGGCCGGCCCTGTACAACTCCACTGTTGTCAGTGTTGGCTGAACCTCGATGGCTTGGTTGTCACGAGCCTGAGATGCAGAACAGTCTTATCAAGAACCTCGTGCAGAATCACGGCGCGGCTCTGAATATCCAGGACAGATGGCACAGAAGTCGCTCTGCAAAGCCGTGACACTGCTTCAGTCTCAAGCGTTTGTAAGCTATCGCAACTATCGCAATTCCATGCTTTGCTTGCTGGCAAGGACAGGCTTTGCATGAAGGAGACCGCCCTGGTGAAGGCCGGTCACTGTTGCAGAAATCAAGACTGACTTGGATTGCGGAGCTCCTGTGTGCATTCGCACCACCCTCCCGCCGCCCACCGCGCGCCCCACCCGCCCCCGCACCGGCGGCCACAGAGGCAGAAAAGAGACGGAGAAGGAAACGTGCATGGCGACGCGTGGCAGTAGCTGGGCTCAGATTTGCGCGTGCGCAGGAGTATGCACGAAGCGCAGCAAAATTCGATGTGGACTGTGTTGCGTATCCTGAGCTCGATTGCAGGTAGTAGCGTCGGGCAACTTGTTTGCCTTGCCGCAACTTCTGAAGCTGGGAGCACCAGCCAACGAAGCAGGCCAGATGCTTGGAGCTGGGAAGAGTTTGCTCGGCTCGACATGTGATGTCTGGCAAGACCTTTCCACCATGTGCAGGCACTTTCCCTACGTTCGGAGCACAAGGGTTCTGCTTGGCAAAGCTCCATGTGCCACCAGGCAACAACGGACACGGACAGCTTGTCCTTCCACTTCCGGCGCTTGTGCTGAAGCTACCTGGATGCAGGCAACTCTTTTTGCATTGCGGATGCACAGGCCTTTTTGTTGAATGTCGGTAAGGTTCATGGAGCGGCACCATAAGATGAGCTGGATGGAGTTGAACGCGACAGCAAACCTTTTAATCCAGTGCAAGGCTGACATTGACAAGTCTTTCCCTGACGCCCCGACTGCGCTGGCTCTTGTAGCATGTCTGCACTCTTGAGTCAAGCATGACGTTTGACATTTTTTTGACATGGCTTGAATCCTGACACAGAACCAGAAAGCTTGCTGTTTCGCGCAAGCCTGAACCCGGTCAGGCAGCGGAGCAGTGTCGCGTTGACCTTGTGCAGCTTCTTCTGGAGCTGGGGGCCCACCCTAGGGCAGTAGACAAGGACGGATTTATAGCACTGGACTACATGTCTTCACAGAGAGGCGGTTGTGCTGGCAACAAGTCAGCGTATGAGACTACGAAGCAATTGCTAAGCTGACAGCTGCCTTGTGAAAGATAGCGGTCGGTGTGAAACAAGTATGCTTTGCTGGTTTCTGCATGCCACGATGGATGAAGTTTTCGGCTTAGCCTTTTAGGTCAAGCAGTTCCCAGTCTGGAACGGAAGCTTTGATGGAAATTGCGTCACACAGCATACACAGCTTGCATTGCCTTAAGAGGAGGTTAGATGCATGCCACGTCATGTTCATGTCGTCTCTGCAGCTTATGGCGCAACGGCTGCCATTGATACTGGCAGCTGCGGGAACTACTGGGGGCCTGGGTGGTCTGGGCTTTCAGCTGTTGTCGGAGGTTCTGAAGTTCAGGGTTGAGCCGGGTCCAGTCCTGAGCACCTGTCCTCTTCCTGCCTCTGACTTCTCTGATTCCTCGGTCTCCTTCGAATTTCCTTTCCCGGGGGACCCGACTTCCCTGCTCTTCGGCTTGTGCCTCGGGCTTTGCTTGGGCCCGATCATCGATCTCCTTTTCCTCTTGCGGCACAGTTGGGGTCGGTTGGTGCGCACGCAAGCCCGAGCCGTGAGCCGGGGAACCTCCCTTTACCGGCTTCTTGAATGAGTTTTGGAGGTGACCTGCCTCCCGCTGTGGAACGTCTGATTCGGCCTTAGGGCGGAGGTCCGATCTCTCTCCCTCCGTACTCAGGCTCTCGAGGCTCGCATCGCCCTCCTCGAGGAGTTTGAGATTGTCCATCCTCCGGCCGTTTCTTCCGAAGCTACCCATCCTGAGCCCTCCTCTTCCTCTGCACCTGCTACTCCTGTGCGACCGGCGGCCTCTTCTGAGCCAGCCCTTGCATCTCCTATTCCCACCTTGCCTGAATCCAAATCTGGCGAGGCCTCTGTGGCGGCAAGTGACACTGAGGGTCGCGCTGCCTTGGCACGGGGTATACGAGCTTTTCTTAGGAGGTCCTTAGCGGGTGAGTATAGGGGCAATTCGGGTCGTAACAGGTTGCGTTTGCAGAGTAGGCTGTACGTCGCTTTGAGCGACTCGGCTGGCTCAGCTTATTCGGAGCCCCGTGTTTTCCACCGCCTGAGGGATCTGCGAACCGAGGTTTTCCACCGAGGGAACCCGGGAGAAGCTACTTTCATTGGCTTTGCGAGCCAGTGGGAGGCAAGGATTGCATTGACCGAAGCTGGTGTTCGAGTTCCTCTTGCCCTCTCCGGGGCCGGAGATGGCCGCTGAAGGGGAGGAGGACGGCGAGGCGGTGGGCATTCGAGATTGCCTGCTGGACCTGGGCGACGCTATCGATCCTTTTGCTTTGTCGGTGGGGCGGCTGGCTTCTCAAGTTGAGGGTGCCGCTGAAATCACTACGGCTGTGGTACCGGTGACTGTGTTGGAGGATCGATGCCTTGGCCGTGCCGCATGCTGTCTGGAACAAGGCTATAGCACGCCGTCGTCTGCCGAAGGACGCCTTGGTTCGGGCTGCCAACGTGGAAGTGGCCGCTCGTGGAGACCCGGCCACTCAAGCTCATCCCACACTCAAGGTGAAGGTGTGGATCGGCTATCTGGCTTCCGACCTCGAGGCAGGATGGTCGGCCGGCGGTGGGGAGGAAGCTCAGTATCCCTTTCGCGTTGCCGGAAGCCCGGGAACTTCAGCGCTGCCTTTCTTTGGAGCTCTTCAGCAAGTCGCTCAAGAGCAGTTTGGCTACGAGACGGGGAATTCCGGACCTGGAGCAGTCGCCGAAGATGGCGATCCTTTGGAAGGTCGAGTTGGCGCCATCGAGCAGGCGCTCGGTTCTGTGCAGCGTGGGTTGGAAAAGTTGCTTCAACAAAGGGCAGCCGACACCACGTCACCTCCGCCTTCTGCACCGGCGATGGACGGCAGGCTGCTCCTCGACGAACGGGGCCTCTGTCGGAATCCGAAGGCGAGGGGGGTCCCGCTGGAGCCGGCCTGGACTTATAGGAGCCGACGAGGGCTTACAGCTTCCCCCGATGGAGCGAGCCGTCTTGGAGATGGGTGCTGTGCTGCAGCGGCTTGCCAAACGGGAGGACAGGCCGAAGACCGACTTGGAGGACATCCTCGACCGCGCCGACGGATTGGGCTCGGGCTCGGCAGACGCTTTTGGCTCGGGCGGCACAGCTCGCTCCAATGCCGCCGCCTACTTGAGGTTGTGTCGCCTGCTTCGAGAAGAGCCGGAGAGGATCGTGGAGTCTATCAGCCGGCTGGTGGAGGAGGACTTCACGGGATTGAGGTCTGCTCCAGGCGCTTCGCAGCAGACCGCAACGATGCGGGCGGGGGTGGAGCACAGATCTCACTTGCCAGCGTTGGCTGGCCGTTCGGTGGTCCTGGGCCGTGGCCGGGATAGCGGACAGCTTGGCGGAGGGCAGGCCAGTGGAAGCCCATGCTCGGTGCCTTTTGCTCTTGGCTGCGGCAGACCAAGCAGCGGTCGACTCTGGAAGCTGGCTGTTAGGAAGCGAGCTGCTGTTCGAACAGGCAGCGCCACTGCAGTCCTTCTCCCGTCACCGCGCCCCCGAAGCGCACGAGCAGCAGCACACAAAGATATTAGATCCGAGGCGGATCAGCGTCGCCCTGAGCCGGCTGAAAGAAAGAGAGGCGTTCATGGAGGTTCGCCGAAAACTGGGAGGCGGGTCTGGGCGGCCAAGTGGTGGTGCCTCGGGTGGAGCAGCCGAGGCCGGCGAGAAGGAGAAGGCCGATGCCAAGTGATTGGTCCTGGGACTTGGGCTTTACAATCTGCCGAGGTGATCGTGAAGCCTCCGGGCTCCGATCACAAAACCGAGCCGTGGGCTGCAGCCGCCTGTGCCTCTGCTCGCAATCCCCCTGCTTTTCCTGTGTCGGGGTCCTCGCCGTCGATGGCCCCGGAGCCGAGCATCGAGATGGCTCAAGCCGTGACCGGTGCTTCTGCTCGCAATCCCGCTTCTTTTCCTGCGACTGGGTCCTTTGAGTTGCCCATAGGGGAGGTATCAGACGTAGCGTCTCTGAATGCTCTCGGTCGCAGCTCTAGTTCGCCTTCTGGCGCCCACGTTCTTTGCACCACGAGGCAGCATGAGTCTGCCCACTTTTCCGAAGCCTCTTTAGGTCCGGGATTTAGTTCGGGTCTGGAAATAGGACAGGGTTCGGCTGAGCCTTTGGAGCCAGGCGAGCCCCTTGTGTCCCATGCGACTGGTGGTCAGTCCTCCGGCCCTGCTGCCGCCCCGGGCTCAGGCGCTTCAACCTTCAAGCCGGCCGATTTGTGGCACGACTTTTTCTCCTGTCTGGGTTCAGCAAGCACAAGCTTTTCGACCTTTTGGCACTCCCTCGACCAAATCGAGGGCCCTTGGGGCGCGTATGGCCCATGCCCGTGCCCTTTCCTTCCTTCCCTGCACCGTGCCAAGGCTAAGCGCCAGCAGCCTGATGCAGCTCGCAAGCTCGGCCTCAACGCCTTAGTGCTTGCTCTTTCCTGGCTGAGTTTGGGATGCCCTGCCGTTGCCCCTCCTTATTTGGGTTTAGGCGGTGCTCTCAGCCGGGGGCAGTGGGCCACTGTGAAGCGCCTGTCGGTTAACGTGTCAGCCTGGAACGCCGCTCCGCCGGTTGACTGGACCGCTATGGGGCGCAGTGCGGCCAAGGTGGAATCCACCAAAGGAGGGTTTGCGGGAGCTTGCCCGACACACCAGCACGAACCTCGAACTTGGAGGGACCCGGTGCTTTGGAGCCGAATCGGCCAAGTCGCTTATGCCCCTTGCCTTGAGTGTGGACCCCAGCCGCATTTCCTTCACGGGGTTCCTACTTTTGATCCGCGGCCTGTCTTAGGCCCCACCAATCGGCTTGCTTTCGAGCGTCCCTTGACTTGGGCAGCCTCCGATAAGCCCCTTAAGCCCGTCCCTTCTGTGAAGCTGCATTGCAAACGTGAGCAGCTGCGGGGTTTCCTGGAACTCCTCGACTCCGGGGACAGGTTGGAGCTCTTCCCTTTGCGGTGCGTTGACTACAGCAAGGCCTGCGGAGTGTTCGCTGTGGCTAAGGATAGTGACCGAGACCGGTTGGTGCTTGATGCTAGGCCTCCCAATGCCTATGAAGAACCCCATAACCCTTGGGTCCGATCCCTCGCCTCGATCGAGCAACTCCGTTACGTAGTCCTGTCCGACAGCCAGGTCATTGTCATGCTGGTTCATTCGGAGGATATAAGGGATTTCTATCATTGATTCAAGGTCGGAGGCGAGAGGTCCCAGCGGAATTGTCTCCGCGCCAAACTCCGCCCGCAAGATTGCCTGGGCCTTAGAGCCTTGCGCGACTCTCTGCTTCAGGAGGAGTGGTTGGTGCCTGGACTTCGGACGGTCGCTATGGGCGACACGGCAGCTGTGGGCTTGGCCCAATGTTCCCACCTAGGTGTCATCCTCTCCTCTGGCGGGGTCTCTCTTGATTCCTTCTTGACTTTGGAAGGGAGACCTCCGCGTTGTGGCCCGGTGTGCGGTTTGATGATCGACGACTTTGTGTGCCTGGACCCGATCGATACCATTGCGCCCCAGCCGAAAGGGTTGGCATCATCAATGGTGTGCGTTCGGCATACAAGACCGTAGGCCTGCCTCGGCACGAGAAGAAGGCGGTGGAAGGTGCTTGCGAAGGCGAGTTTTGGGGCTGTGCCTTTGATGGCCGAAGCGGCCGAGCTCGGCCCAGTCCTAAGCGAGCCGTGCCCTTTGGTTTCCTGGTGCTTCAGCTGGTCACTGTGGGGCAGACTTCGGCTGAGCTGCTGGATTCGCTGGTCGGGGGTCTGGTGTCTTGTTTCCAGTACCGCCGCCGTCTTCTTTGCCTGCTGCAGCACGTCTACTCGGATCCTCGCCCGAAAGACCGGTCGGCACCCTTTCCTTTGAGTGCTGCGGCGAAGGGGGAACTACTCGCCTCGGTGGCCTTGCTGCCCCAGTGCGACATAGACTTGAGGGCCCGTCCTGCTCCCTTCGTGATCGCCGCGGACGCCTCTATGGAAGCCGAGGCCGGTGTGATTTGCCCCGTCCCGGCAGCTGCGTCGCAAGAGCTGTATCGCCATTCTCTTTCCAAAGGGCTCTGGAACAAGTTGCTGTCAGCTGTTGCTGCCTATCGTTGCGAACACGGCGACTTGGATAGCTCTGATGAACTGCCCGGGTTTGGGGAACAATATGCTTCCCACCCCCTGTGGGATGAGCTTGCCTTGAGCCAGCCCTTTGGAGCCTTCGGCAGGATTGTGCGGGTCCAGCAGCGGAGACACATCAACATTGGTGAAATGCGGGCGGCGATCCGTGCCGAGAGTCGCCTCGCCAGGCTCCACCATGACATTCGCTATGTTCACTTGCAGGATAGTCAAGTGTCGCTCGCTGCGATGACGAAGGGCCGCAGCTCCTCCAAGGCTCTGAATTGTGAACTTCAGCGGTCTTTGGGCTTCTTCTTGGGTTCTGGGTTGCGGCCGGGCTAGGTTACCTGCATACCAAGCTGAATCCCTCGGACGACCGATCCAGGAACGCACCCCTGCGGCCTCCTAGCCGAGCGGGCTCACGGTGGTTTTTGGACTTCCTCGCGGGCGATCTGTGCGCACTGGATGCCTTCCTGTGCGGATCAAGTACGAGGCTTGCCAGACCCTGCGGAAATCACGCTGCCTCCTTCTGAAGTGGGCTGTGGTGGAACCGAGGGACCCTGCCTTGGGACTCATGCTCCCCTTTTGCATGAAGGTTTCAGCTCCCGCCCTGCGAACCAGTCAGCACATTCCCGTCGACCGCGCCGTGCTCTTCTGCGGGCGGGGAGGCCTCTCGATCCTTCCCTCCTGAAGCCTTTTCCTTGCATCCTCAATGCCGTGACCTTGGGGACGCTCTTCGGAAGGGCCTGGCTGGTTGGGTTTGTTTCAGGGTTCGCGGGGTTTCCTTTAGGCCTTAGTCTCCTGCGGAGCCGCGCCATGGACGATCTGCCTGACAAACCGAGAGAGTGACTCTGGATTCGACTGGCAGAAGCTCTGTTCGCTGGATGCTTTCAAAGGAGTCTATGTTAGCTTTCCGGCGGCGACCTTTTCGGGAGCCATTCGGCCTCCTGTGCGGACGATTCAGTTTCCTCAAGGAGTCCCGGGTCTACCAGAGAATCTACTTGCCAGGTTGGAGGCGAGCAACGAGGCGAGCGACTGGGCCCTGGACGTTTCGAGAACTTGCGCTTCGAGCGGCAGCGCAGTGCTTGTCGAGCACCCTCGCAACAGCATGCTGTGGAAGCTTAGCGGTTGGGCTGCACTGCGTGCGGCCGCGGGGTGGAAAGCTGAGGCACTGGATATGTGCCGTTTCGGCTCTCCTGCTCGAAAGTCTACTCGGGTCCTCACCTTCGGGATCGAGGAGATGGGACCGGTCACTTGCAACTGTGGCTCCCCTCACCTACCTCTTCGAGGGCGAGATCCAGCTACGGGCCGGAGCTGGACGACCGAGGCCTCTGCTAAGCCTAAGCGTTTTTGGGAGCTAATCCTGACGACTGTGGTGCGCAGCTTGACGTGGCAGGCTGTTCAAAAACGGGGTCTCTGAGAGCAGGCGAGGCTGCAGTGCCAGGACCTCGGCGTACACGTTTTCGAGTTCCTCAGGAGCTGGCTGCTGTTTCGCTGGTTGAACCTGCCACGGTGGCTTTGAGGACCCGGTATTGGACCGCGTTCTCTGAGTGGATCGACGCTGCTGCAGGTGATGGAGCCTCTTGTCTGGTGGTGCGCGTGCCTCAACTGCTGGTGAAGTTGTTGGTTGCTTTTTCGCAACACCTCTACGACGCCGGCACACCTTTAACGTACTACAGGCAGTTGGTCGCTCACGTGCAGCGGGAAGTACCCGGCAGCCGCCCCTGGATTCGAGACGCGTGGGAGTTCGTGAGCCGTTGGGAGCTCCTGGAGCCACTGCAGCACCGCCCTCCTCTTCCAGAACCGCTACTCCATGCGATGTGTTCTGTCGCAGTGCTGTGGGGATGGAAGCGATGGGCCGCCACTACGTTGGGAGCTTTTTACGCAATCTGCAGGCCAGGAGAGTTTGTGCGAGCGATGCGGGACCAGTTGCTGACCTCAGCTGACCTTTTGGAGACTGGGCAAGAGTTCTTTTTGAGGATTCCGGAACCAAAAACTCGTCGAAGGGGCGCTCGAGTGCAACATGCTCGGATCAAGGCGCCTGAGTTTATCCTGAAATTCTTGGGCAAAGTCTTCCAGCCTCTCGCTGGCTCTTGTGCGCTTTATCCTGGGTCTCCGAATATGTATCGGAGGCGCTGGGATTCCTTGCTCAAGGCCCTGCTTGTGGAGCCCACTCACCGTTTGACTCCAGGGTCTCTTCGCGGAGGTGGAGCTGTTCGTGCTTTTCGGGGCGGCGAGCCCCTCTCCGAAGTTCAGTGGAGAATGCGACTGCGACACCAGGAGACGCTTGGGTACTACTTACAGGAGGTCACGGCCCTGTCAGTGCTGCCTTCGCTCAGCTCACCCTCGCGAAACCTGGTACAAGGTGCTGCCGCGGCCTTTCCCTTTGTCCTAGAAGCCTCTTAGCTGCGCGGCTGAGCCGGCCGTGTTTGCCAGTGGTGGTGGTGAGGAAGAAGGGCTTCTGGGGCCGAACGGCCCGACAGGTCTGAGTGACCACACGACTTTGCCGACGAAGAGTTCGGAGTGCCAAAACGAAGCGTCCGTTTTGGAAGAGCAGAGTTAGGCATTAACATGCCACGTCATGTTCATGTCGTCTCTGCAGCTTATGGCGCCCGCCCGCCCACCCGTGGTGAGGAAGAAGGGCTTCTGGGGCCGAACGGCCCGACAGGTCTGAGTGACCACACGACTTTGCCGACGAAGAGTTCGGAGTGCCAAAACGAAGCGTCCGTTTTGGAAGAGCAGAGTTAGGCATTAACATGTCGAGATTCGGAGCTATCTCCAGGCTCCAAGCTGTAACAGCGTTTGAATATGGTGAAGTGAAGAGGGCTCCAGTGGTGCTTGAGGCTCAGAGTGTAGCATGCAGTGCTTCATGGTGTCCTCGGGGCTGAGCATACGATTACGGTCTCACACACCCTCCAATGCCAAACTCTGGGATGAAGTATGGGAGCCTAATCAATTAAGCGTGAATCGTTCGTTTCCATACTGGCACGGTCGGAACCCCGTAGTCTCCTGTGGGATGCTTCGTGATCCGAAGCCAGGAAGGCAAGGCCATGCACAGATTTGCAATACGTCCGACGGCATGCCGATTCTCCAGGATTTGGTGCTGGGGACCAATAGCTGAGGTGATGGACGGTAAGTTAAGTTTGGAACGGTTGGGTATGGGGAAACCCTTGACCGAGAAGGATTGAGGGTGTTGGCTTCTTAAGCTGATATTTCCAGTCTAAGGTTTCTAAAGCTTGCCGCAAGCTCTCTGTCCTTTGAGCTCCATCCTTTTCGCTCTCGGCTGTCATTAAACCATTGTGTTACACTATGTTGCAGTTGTGTTTCAGTGAGACAATGGCTCCCTCAAATACCACTTTGAGCAGGCAGCTTCAGAACCGAGTACCGAGGCCTCGCACATTCTTTCAATCGATCAAGGATCTTCCCAGAGTAGAATTCAGGTTCATCCAATATTCGGCAACAGCAACACCCATCTCTGTGCAGGTCTGGATTCCAAAGTGCTTTCTCGGCGAAGCTGCGGGGCCGAGCCGACAGCCGCTACACCACAGCCCGTGGAGTAGGACAGCTGCATGACCAGTGTCCAGCAGGCAGAAAAAAGGGTCGAGTTGATGAATTCACCACGTGTGCTGAACCAAACACAACTCAACTTGACTCACAAGGTTCGTGCGTGGTCAGTGATAGCAGTGTGATCCTAATCCCAAAACTCCTGATGCTCGAGAGACAAGCTGTGTCTGGCGTTGGAGATATCGGAAACACGTGAAGTGATTGAGCGGTTGCCAACGGTTCATCTCCGAGTCGAAGCTTCGGCCACGGCTGGAATATGGGGGCCTCAAGAACTATAGAATAGGTTTTTGGATGAAACTTCGCATGGCTCTGCGCACACAAGCGCTAGTGTGCGACAGGGTCATAGTTGAGTCCAGCCGACGCAAGCTGCTCCAAAGCCACATGTCGCAGTTGCATTCGATATATACTTTCACTGGAGAGGAGACCCAGTGGATAGGTGGATGGGTCTGTTTTTATGGAATTGGCATGAGAACCGTAGCTTTTTTTGTACATTCATTCGCTCCGAATTGATTTTTACATTCTGTGCTGTGAGTTTATAAATGGGTGTCTTTTTTCGGAGATATGGGAACGGGGATGATGAACAGGGTCCGGGCAGTTGAATTTGACATCATGCGATACACAAAATGCACGGTTTTCTCTTTGACTAACACAAAGCCAGCACCAGTTTTGCAGCATAAGACAGCCCCAAATCTAAACCGTCTCAGCATTGCGCCTTACCGGCTCTGCCGTTCACGCACCATGCCTCAACATTCCTACGACTGGGCGATCTGATGGCCGGCTTATACAGCAAATTTGGGTGAGTGCTTCGCAACTGGCGCCGCCCTGGAATCCAGCCGTGTCAGTTGCAGTATGTTGGATTCTCCGCCATTTGGCAGACGTTCCAGCCCAGGCGAGCTTGTGGACTGACGAGTGTGATGGGAAGGAGCCATTAACTGGGCGATCTCTTGGCGGTAGTCGGTAAGGTTCTTGTCAGCCGATTCGCCGCTCGGTGAGGCAAGCCCTGTGCAGGGCCGGTGTCGGACAAAGGGGCGACAACAAAAGCTTGGAATGTTTCCACACGCGTCGAAATCTAGCAAAATCAGCTTAGACTGCGGCTCAACGGCGGCACCGAGCTGAGCTAGGGCGTGCAATTCATCGTCGATGCGGGCGGGCGTTGGAACCTGGAAGCCACTTCCTTCCTCTACCATCTCCCGCTTTTGGGCACAAAACATGCACAGCAGTCGCACCTACTTGGAGATTTGCGCGTCCTTACGGTTGCAATGCAAGCCGTGAGGTGGAGTGGCATGCTGTCGGCTCCGATCGCTCTGCGCGATGTTCTCTCAGCTACGGCTTGCTTGCGGGTGCGCGCAGTCCCAGGCATCCGCAGCCGGAAGCACAAGCGTCATCGGAGCCAGATAGCTATGTTCTGCTTCCCAGTGACCCAGTGTATGCCGGCCGTCAAACATGTACATTCTTTAGATTCACGAGCTTGATCTTCTTGATCCATTGCAAGCTATGTTCGAACAAAAACGCTGGTCTTGGATGAGCCCGAGCGGCGCCTCAGAGTTGACAGCCGGCCAATGTGGGACGGATGGGCTTCACAAGCCTGTGCCGGCGTGCTCGAGTTGTGGCTGTTTTGCGAGTAAGACGTGCGTCGCTGAGCCGACTAGAGGAAGATGCAAAACAAGGTAGAAACACCACGTCATTGCTAACAGGCTCGACCACTGGTTGGCCGGCTACCTTCGAATGCTGTAGAATGAGCTTGTGGGCCGCAGGCCATGCCAGGCAGCAGGCGGGTGGAGGAGAAAGATCTTCATCAATCGGTGAGGGACGACACAACGCTGCATGTTGCTGCTGGGTGTATGCGGCCACTATGTGTCCCGGATGCTCGTGAGACAACGTGTACATGTACGGACAATCCTGAGCTGCAATAGCATCGGCGCGCAGAGGGCTGCTCTTTGTGCAAGCACGGCAGGGACATGCAAGGACGGCAGCTTGGACTCGCGCCCATTTTGTGGATCGGGAGCGCCTTGCCTCGCCATGATCACTTCTTGCTTGTGGGAATAAGAATAATGTTGAGGCAGCTGCCCTTGGATGATTTTTTATGATGGCTTGTTATGGGTGGATGTGGGTGGGTCTTGCCACGGCGGCCTTGGACTGTAGCCAGGCGATGCTGGTGTTTCGCGAGTTTTTCATTATTGAATGCGTCATGCCCTGTTTCGCTTCCCCTTCGTGGTTTCTTTCAGGAACGTCATGAAGTTGATTGATTTTTTCAGGTGCGGCCAGTGTTTAGTGTTCCCTACATTGGCATCGCCAGCTCATGCCTGCGCCGTGTGTTTTGTCGGCGCTTGTGCGTGCTTCTTGTGTTTCGCCCCTGCACATGCCGTCGTGCATGCATGTGTCTAGCCGGCTGCCGGCTACGGTTGACGTGCTGGAAGAACCGCCCAATGTACGCCACATCATCCCATCCAGCCAGCATCCAGCTCCAAAGTGGCGATAGGGTCTGGGTAGGTCTGGGTGGAGGCATGGGTTCCCCGCCTGAACGTACGGGGTTCATCGTGTTGAGTGCTTCGCTGGCGCCAGCATAATGTGATGTTAGCATTGTCGTAATCGTTTTTACACATGCTTCAGTTGGTGCACGCCTTACAGCGCTGTCATCACTTTCACTTTGTTCGACGCGGGCAGAAAGGTATATCACAAACCACTTTTGTATGGGAGTTTCCTCACAGTACGGTGGGAGGACATGTGGTTTTCATGCCCGAAAATGGCATCGCAATGTGCAGTGATGCGGCATCGTAGATGTAGGTGCCCACATGTCACGTGAAGAACCGAGCGCCTACCGTGTTGCCCAGCATGAGCCCTCCAGCGACCTTGGCAGCCGCCCCGGAGATGCAGCTCCAAAGTCTGTGGGGGTGATGGCGATACAGCGCGTTGGCAGCGGAACGGATGGTGCCACAGGGCACGAAAACAGATGCAAAAAACGCGTGGGCTGCATGTACAAATCATAGCCGAGGCGGACGTGTTGCTGCATGACAGCTATGTGTTTCACTGGACTATGTCCAGCTCTTTGCTCGAACCCCCTCGACCCCGTCGCCTCTGCTGCCTGCGAGCCGGCTATGCGTGAGGCTCTGCAAGACGAGCGCTGGTTCCACGCCCCTGCCCCCAGCCGATTCCCGGCGAAGACCTAGGTCACCGGTACCGCATAGGCATGCATCGGCATGAGTAGGCTGCAGGCACAACGTGGACGGAAGATGCACGGGGATCGCGCTCGTACAGGTTGTGCAAATTCGGCCAGAGACAACATTCAGATCCCGTGGATTGCCGGGTGCGGACAGCTGATTGTTGAAAGCCTACCACTTAGTTCCTGCAGCTGCTGACAAGCCTCGATGCACTCCGTGACCACTATACGCCTTGCGCCATCTTGCGCCACATCCCCAGTCTTCATTGCGTGCCCGAGCCAAAGCTCTCAGTGCACCGGCTTTCCTGCGCCAGGCAGTCTGTAAAGGAATAGTCATTACAACCGATAGTTTGGCCAATAGCAAGTGATAGTTTGTTTTTTTCGGTACTTGATCATGTAGTCCTCTACAAAAATGAAGATTGTACACTCTTACTTGGTACCCAGTAAGAGTGGAACACCACCGAGAAGCTCAAAACCTCGATTTCCAGTCTATCTCTCTCATTGCTTTCACACATGTAGTCCTCAGATATGTGTGCATAAGATTTTACATTCTTACTTGGTACCAAGTAAGAATGGGAAATCGTAAATCTTAGGTTCGGCCTGCTTCTGGTCATTATTGCCACTGTGTTTTGGAAGAATCGTTGGCAAATTTCAGAGGTGGTTGAAAGAAACCAAGAGCCTGATG